TTCAATCACTTTCTAGCTTTGTTCTATAATCGAATAAAAATATGGTTCAATCTGTAAAGTACAAATGAATGCAACTCCTGTTAGTTTAATTATGATTCGCTTTGACTTGAGTAGGTTGTGTCGCACTAATTTTGTGATTGGTCGAGGGCTTACCGACCGACGAAATAAATAAGGAAAACAATGGTTCTTTGATATTTTCTAATATTAATAAAATGTTATATCGAAAAAAACACTGATTTCTCAATATACACAAAATCTTTAATCATGCTAGTCTCGTTTATAATTTCTCAGAGAATATTTTTTTAAAATCTCTAATATAATTTTACGTTTTGGAAGAGAGTCGCAATCACTTATATTTACATCGCATTCAGTAGAGACTTAGCTGAAGAACAACTTTTATTTTTACTATCAGTATTAGAGAAATTTAGCTAAAGGTTGACCATTTAAGCGTGCTTTTAATGTTTGTTCTAAATTTTATTTAACAAAAGGTTTCGGGACGTCTAGTTTATCACGGAATTTGATACTGTTGTTGCATATGAATATAAAGATGCCTTAATACTAGAAGAAAGAATAGTTAGAATACTTTTTTAGAGATGAATTTCTGTAGTCTACTCATATGGAGTGCAATGAGCATATGTCGCATTACATATTTAACGAATGATTGCTTATTTTCTAAGCCTTTTCGATTTGAATGATATCAGAGTGCTCAACTATCGAAAAAAACATGAGGATTACTGCACAAGCTGATCCTCTTATTTCTGAGTGCATATTTATCGAATTATGTGTCGATAATGAGTAGAAAAAACTCCACTAACGATACTTTTCCCTATAAGCATGCTCAAAACCAAAGATTTTCTTCTATATAATCATTTTCACTTGAGCAAAATATTGATGAGACAAATTATATTGATCAAAAGCTTCTATACTAACTTCTCCACTTTATTGATCAAATGTATCTGCGTAACCATCGCATTCTCTTTGATTTCAATAATCTAAGATCATATTAGTTGTCAACTCGAAAATCTGCTTCACTTCAGGCAATATAGTACCTTCATTTCATACCTGGTTCGATAACTTACTATTCTTATGATTTCAATCGTGAATTCATCTCGATGAATTCTATAAATCATTCGATGCTACATGAAATGTTTTCGTTTCTTACATATCTACTCATCTCAACAGGTAGATGAGTTATTTTAAATTATTTCATAAAATATTTCTAACTTATAATTTATACTTTTCAATACCACATTTTCTCTATCTATTCAGGGTGTTTATTTAATTTCATGAATACAACACTTTCCCAATTTTTCTTTTTCTATCATAGCATAACTCTGGAATTCGGTGAGTACTAATCAACTAATTGAATTAGAACATATTTCCACTTTTACTTTTTAGATTCGTTTTATATAGCCATATATCCCGTGAGTCTATTCCAAATATTAAATTAAAATACAATTTCATTTTAATTTATCGATTTGTTTCGAATATCGAAAAAAGTGTGAGTTAATTCAATGTATTAAAAAAGAATACAATCTTTAATTTTTGTTTTGAGATTCGATCCGTATTTATCAATATATCTAGTGAGTTTATTCCAATTACTAAATGAAAATGAAAATGAAATTCTATTTATATTTATATTTTTATTTTTAGATTCGTGGGATATCGATACATCCAGTGAGTTTAAATCAATTTATCAAATTAAAATGAAGTTTTGTGTTAATTTTTAGATTCGTTTTATAACTATAAATATATCTGATGAGTTTATTTCAATTACTAAATATGAATGAAAGTTCATTTTTACTTTTAGATTCGTTCTCTATCAATATATTCGGTTAATTTGAATCAATGCATTAAATGAAAATACAATTTTATTTTCAGTTTTTGGATTCATGTGATATCGATAGATCCGGTAAGTTTCAATCAATTTATTAAATTAAAATAATACTTAATTTTATTTCTAGCTTCGTTTTATATTTCAATACATCATGTGAATTTATTTCAATTACTAAATCAAAATGAAATTTTATTTTTATTTTTAGATCCATGTAGTATCGATCGATCCAGTAAGTTTGAATCAATTTTTTAAATAAAGGTTCATTTTTATTTTTAGACTCCTGTGATATCGATTTACCCGGTGAGTTTGAAGCAATGCATTAAATAAAAATATAATTTTATTTTCATTTTTAGATTCGTTTTATATCCGTAGATCTGGTGAGTTGGAAAAAATTCTTTAAATTAAAAAAACAGTTTCATCTTTATTTGTAGATTCGTTTTATATCTTAGTATATGTGGGAAGTTTGTTCAAATTATTGTATGAAAAAGAAATTCTATTTTCATCCTTAGACTCGTTTTCTCTGAAAAGTTCGGGTGAGTTTGAGTCAATTTAATAAATTAAAATATAATTTTCTTTTTGTTTATAGATGATTATCGTAGGGAAACGTTTGGTGAGCTATGAAATTCGTTCATTAACTTCGGTTGAATTGTGTTTTACATGAAATGGGTGATTATTAGTTTGGATGGGTTTGAATGTGAAGAAAACGGGTGAGTTTAGATGATTTTCCGACGAAAAATTGGTTTGTTTCTTCATTTTTTAGGTGGAGAAGGTCGTCATGTTCAGCTTCGTGATGGTTTGGTAATAGTGTGCGGCAGTGCCTCTGGATAATTGAAGTTTTTCTCTGAGCCCCGTGTGTTGCCGACCTTTAATGACTGTTCTAGTTATTTCTGGGTACGGATGGGTTCACAGCAGAGCTTCAATGAATGCCTGTGGTCGCTATGAATGCTTGTTGCTCCTGACAGAGAAGTGTTGGCTGCCTGTCTAGACTAGTTTGGCAGAGCTTTAATATAGATCAAGATGTTTTCTCATTATGTTGTTAAACGATGTTAAATGTCTTCTTAGTTAGATGTGACATTCTCATCTGTATTTTGTCGAACACTTTTACAAATAAAAGTTTTAGAGTGTGGGTGTGAGTGTAGACAGCTGTACAAGAAAATCCACACCGAAACTCTTTCGTTTCCCCTTGACTTAAGAAAAGAAGGAAGTTTGAATTTTTTTGTCGATGTATTTTTCGGAATGAACCGAAATACATTTGCTTCATGAAATATTTCAATCCAATGACAAATCAAAGTTAAATGAATACATACATGTTTCACATCGAAATCCTGTCCATGATGACGTGCACTAGAAAGGCATGAAATGATTCTACATACTTACAAGAAATCTTTTGGAGACTTACGGTACAAAAGTTTGGTGCTATACAAGATCCGCTATCGGAACACGGTGGTGAACACACAGTTAAGAACAAGAAAACGAGATAGTATGTTCCTGTCTTCCTGACAAAAAAGAAAAATAAATCATGACTATTTCTTCATAGTTTCCTACGGAATTAATTAGAATGTATTGGGCTGATGAGATTTCGCAATGAACTGAGCAATTAATGAAGAGTAAATATGTTGGAGAAGAACTTAGAATTTCTGCTTCTTCTTGTAGCAAATTAGAATGAAACATTATGATTTTTTGTGTTCTCGCATGAAATTCGACTTTATCAGTTTTGGTCAAGGTAGTTGGTCCTGAGCGACGACTACATTTGAACATTCATCCTCGCTTATATCCGTATTCAAATGCTTATCTGGATAGAGAACGGAAATATTTAGATCTTGGACTCTTCAAGCACTCAGAATAAATTTTTATTATACTTTGCTTTATAGGATTTGTAACTTCTTCTAAAACAGATACATACGTGTCTCACATTGAGGTCCGGTCCATAATGATGTACACTACAACGGCACGAAATAAGAATGCACATTTAATAAGAAACTTTTTTTGACTTACAGTACATATGTTCGATCCTGTGCAGGTTCCACAGTTTAAGCATGGCGGTGAACATATAGCTAAGAATAAGAAAAAATTCTTTTGCAAGTATTCTTTGTATGTTGAGAAAAAGAATCAAAATAAGATGTAGACTACTGATTTTACATCATAATGAAGCAAAAGTCCTATATGCATTGAATGAATGTAAGAAGTGTGTTTGTTAGACTGAAATCGAATTTCTATTACATAATAACTATACGTAATGAAATTCACACGAATACGATCGAACGCATGACAAAAATATGGCTCTGTAATTTAGTGACATTTAACCTACACATTGGTCAACATTAAAGCTCATCTTGTAATGATTAACGCATCATTTCATGACTCCATCATAACTTGGGTTATTTCAAAATGAGAAGTCACCATCTAAAAGAAATAATGTCTCTTAAAGTTGTTAAATTGCAGCTTAGGCTATAGCTCATATACAGTATACTTTTTAATGAAGTGAAAATTTTCTACGCCTAAGCGCAGAAAATAAATTAGAAACGAATGCAATCCTCATAGAAATCCAAGAAAGAGATGGTAGATTTATTATTCTCCATTTTTAAGATCATTGATTAAAGCTAAGATGAAATTATTTACTATGCAATGAAGGATTCATTGTTTTGTATTTACATTCGATCGATCAATTTGTGATAATACTCTTCTTGATATTATGCCTTGTATTCTAAACGATGCTAATAATTATCCTGAATTTGAGCTTCCTAGAAGTTAAAAATACTATCGAATAACAAGAGTAAAGAGAAATACATGACACGACAGTATTCAAGAAATATCTGTATGATGCTACTCTATTTGAATAGTTTTATAGCTACATGTGGTTCATTTCGGAGTTGAATATTGATAAGCATATTCTTATTCATTTTCTTCTAAACATTATACATAAATGAATCTAATTTGTATGAAACTTACTATTCTTGTCTTCTCAGGCTCAGTTTGAATCACTGCAAAATCAAATATGTTTTACTTTTTAATTGTAATCTGCAGTTATTGAAAGTTTAAGAAGAAGACAATTGAATCCTAGCGATGATCCATTATTGCAATCATACATATTTGTGTAATAAAAACAGAAGTGCAATAGAATTCTTTTCGTTTTCCTTACTCTAATGGGCTACTGTCGTATATTTATGTAAGAATAGATGGTTGGTGAAGGGTAGGGTAATTCAAGACTGTTTTTTTAGGTCTTCAATGAAAGGTTGGCAACACAGTTGATGAACGAAACTGAAATCAAAGAAAATATATACAAGAGAGATGATTGCAGCCTAATGAAATAGCAGTATACTCAATCAAATATATCGTTAATTTCATTTACTTAGCGTTACGACAGATTCTACGACTCTTCTCTTTTCAATAGTTTGTGAGGATGTTACAAGTACAAGAGAATTATTAAAAAAAAACAAAATAAAGATGCGAATGATGTAGGAAAAAAGAAAGACATATCAACTCACGAGCTTTGATTCCAGGTATTGTTACCAGCTCGCTGAGATCACTAACTGCACTGAGTCCAATAGCAGTTATAGATTGTACTTGAAATTCAAATGTTATTGTTGATGGAAGGTTTGAGATGATAATCTCTTGGCGATTATCGGATGTTTTCAGGCTGACCCACTCTCCTAGTGTTTGATTTTCATTTCTGTCGTCTGATGTTTTACTGATATATTGTCGGTACATAACTTTATATTTAATTATTTTCTCACTTCCACTAGCAGCATCCGTCCATCCAAGTGTTACATTATTTTCAGTGACATTTTTTACATAGGGTGCACCTGGTTTACTAGGTACGATAAAGCCTACTTTCTTTGATTCATCATCATAGAGAATGAGTTGTGTACTTTTCAAGCGATTTACTGCATACTCTTCGTCAACGATGAATTTTATTTTTCGATTTTCAACATTATTCGCTTTAGCAAAGTCCGCAAATTGTCGAAAATCTTTGCGAATTTTTGTCATAGAACGATGATTTGTAAACCAGGTTTTGTTGTTTTGGTGACCTTTCGACGATTTGAAACTGCTGTTACCGTAAAGATAATTGTGCATGTCAGTAAGCTGAGGATCATTTTCTTCAACGAAACGCAATGAAAGACAGAATGTATAGTCATAGTGAGAATCGAAATCGATTCCATGTAATGATGATGATTTGATCGTAGCATTCAAATTTTTATATGCAACAAGAGTTTCAAGCAAAGATGTGACTAACGAAATCATTTGTCGCTTCTCGTTGAGCCACGACTCTAATGTACGTTTGTTAAATGGTGACGAGTCAACTCCTTTAAATAAATTAAATAAAACAGACTCTTGAACACCTGTATTTCCTCGTAGTTGTGGTAGGTATAATACGATCTTTTCTTTCAAAACACGTTGAAACTCGGATAATCGAGCAGCGAAATCCAATAAATGATTTTTCATATGATCGAAATGAGTAAAAATTTCATCCTTCGATAAATCCAAAGCAGTTACTTCAAAAGAATGAAGATTTTCAATAAGAGATATTGTGTAATCAATTAATTTCGATGAAATATCTCGAACTACTCGCATCGCTTTATTATCCAATAAACTTAACGGATACAGCCATACTTTTTTCGGTACAGCACTTTCACTCTTGTTGCCTAAAAGTGTTGGTAATTGGCGATAAATTCGAACAGCATCAGCAAAGGTACTTGGGTTTTCACTCAAAAGGAAATCACCATAAAATTTACAATTCAACCTATCGACGAACTTTTGTTGTTGATCATTCATATTCAATTTACCTTCACCTTCGACTTTGAATGTTGGAATTTTGTTAATCAACACTTTCAGCGTACCACTGATATCCCTTTATCTTCATATTTTGTTATTGTACGATCAAAAACGAAGAATGCTTCGGCTCCATAAAGAACACCAGTAACAACATGTGTTGCTAGATCTGCATCATGTAAATCCGGATGATCCAAATTCACTTTACCGAGATGTTTCATTGTTAATTGTTCAAAATGTGTTGTAGTCGAATATTTTAACGATAGACGAGTCTCATGTCTTGTTTGTTGAAAATTCTCAGCGTATTTCGCAGAACCAGATATATCGACAAGACCACCAACCATACTTAATTTTAAATTAGCCTCAACTCCTAAAGCATGTGCCTTATTCTGTAATGAATCATCAGTAATTACTTCGAATCCAGTGTATGGTTGCACATATGTGCTAGTATTATTAGTCAAGTTTTGTGGATCCCATAGAGTAGCACCCGCTATTATCTTGTCACTGCGCATATCATAGAGCATTCCTAAACGGAATGGACGTCCTAATGTAGCCATTGTAATGGTCTGTTGCTTTGCCATACTTTGAAATGGCCAGTAAGAGAGAATAAAAAATATAAAGCATAAAATATACATAGAGTGTAGTTTTGTTCTGTTCTTTTAACTAAAATAAAAAACAGAAGTAGAGAGTATTTCACATGCTATCTATCATTAATATCACAGTGAATAAATGAAACCTATTCAATAAATTTGGACTCGTCAAGATTCATCAACTTTTTGAATAGAAATTGATTCTCGTAAACATTCTTCAGAAAGGTTAGAATAGTCACTGATTCACTTCACTTCTCCTCATTCTGATCCTATATGTCATAGAATATATCGAAGCAGAGAGTTCGAAAAACCACTTAAATGTGTCTCTGTATCAAAACAAAACGTTTAGATCGGCATATGGAGTCTTGTCTATCGACAACATAGAAAAACATTTTGGAATACTTCTCCAAGCAAAATTCACAAATACAATATCAAATTTAAATTTATTTATGCTACCTTCAAAATTACAAAATAAATATTCCCTGTCGTTAACTTTTAAGTTAATACTTGAAATAAATTATCGCCAATTTCAAACAAAGGGTAAGCACAACGAAATATCTTATACTAGCATCAAGAATATGTTCGGGCTTTGTTTCACTTTCATCTCTCCCTTGCAGTCATATATCTGTCATCAGTTTCATTAGAATCCTCATTGTCGGATGCATGAATTTTGTTCGATTATTTCTAAAAAGAAATCATGCTCAACCTAAAACATGAAACTCTCAACGTATCTATAAGTGTTTCATACAAACATGATATTCGTATGCATGTTCCTTTAAAATGTTTCAAAAAATCTAATATAACGAAGATTGTATACATTAACAAAAATTTCCACATATTATAACCCCGAGCTAATGTGTCTCCACTATCGATAAAATTCATATAACTTATTTTATCTATAGAATATTTTTACCAATCCGGATGGCTTGCACTACAGCTATTATCAACAATATTAAAATTATCATCGTCTAATTAGTCATAGAGCTTTTCTTATTGGTAATTCAATCTAATTCATCAATGAATGAATAATTTTGTTACTATTGTATTTTACTGTTTGAGTTCATTTTGAGACAATAAATATTAAACATTTTATAAGGGTGAGAGTACAAAAGTAGAGAAACTTGCCTGGATACTAATGCTTCAATAGTATTAAGATGAATATGTATGGACCGATTCTTTTATGTGCCGGGTATGCTGTTGATCTTTTATAATATATTATACACCAGCGTTCGATAACCTGTTTATCTCGATTAATATTGTACATAAGAAGATTTTCTCATGGCATCGCGTCGAATCATATTCTAGATAATTATGCCCCCCATACTATCGTATCCGTTCTTAACGCAAACGACCATACACATCAACATCTACTTTGACGGTTTAGATAAAATTACTTTCTATTTTATCGACGAGAGATAGTAGTATTAGACGTTAGTCGAAGAAGACAACGATTCATATCAAAGAATACTGCAACCTGATATAATTACTGTAGAATTTACCGACTATATAATATTTATCCAGCTTTCAGTATTTTGATAATAAATCAACTATTGGACAAAGATCATTAAAACAAGATTGCAATCGTTGTATCACTATACAAATTAAAGTAATTTTCTCAAGCTTGCTTTGTGGATAAAAACAACCTTTCATGCCTGAATGATTAATTTAACTTTTATAACACTTATTTCGATCTGATTTTCTTAACGATTCAATCCAAGATAAAACAACACAAGTAGTATATTCTACAGAATAAAAATATTGTAGTTTTGTCTCATTCAATAAGGAACAAAACACCCCGAAATATGTCGTACCGTATCTAATATAGAACTTTATCATATGCACATCTTTCAGAATTCAACATAGACCTAAGAACAAAAAATATAATACACATGTAACGTCTCTATCAACACGTGAAGAAAAAAGACAAATAAGTAAATATGTATGTATGCAGAATATAAAAGAAGAAAAACTTGAAACCAAGAAAAACAATCAAATAATAACCAGAGCACGACTAGGAACGATAAAACAAAATAGAAAACACACCGATCTATTTCTCTCTAATGTAAATCAAGCTGCTAGTCACAACTCTTACTTTTCAGCAACCGATGAAGTCATAATTATTTTCAGGGTGTGGGCGTGTTAATAGAAATGATTTTTCAAAAGAAAATCAAATCAAAAGCTAGCAAGACACGTGTTTCGACTACCGCTAAAGTAGTCACTTATCAATTGCTTAAGATATAGATGTAAAAATATGTAATTTTTCTCCTACTATGTACATCTAAAGTCAAGAGTTATAAGAACTCTCAAATCTAATAGAAGACATAAGTTTTAATTGTCAGAAAGTTATGATATAAAACTTCCAACAATATCCTAAGAGATTCTCCAACTAATGTGGTGTGTTAATAGAAATGATTTTTCAAAAGAAATTCTGCATTCTATATATATATATTTATAGAAATGTATGCATATAATATAATAAGTTTATTATTATCTACCAGGGTCTACTAAGGTCTATAGGGTCTAGCAGGGTCTCAACGTGGATGCCACGAAACGACTTACACCACATCTCTCTCGATGTGGGTGCCACGAAATTGTGGCAGACCCTAGTAGACCCTATAGATCCTGGTAGACCCTAATAGATCTTACTGTCTCTTCTAGAATTGAACATATACAATAATCTAAAATATACACATATGTATGTCAATATAAGTATAGATGTCTCCATAAATATGTTTCCATGTATGATTAGAGGTGATGTAGATAACAGAGAAAGGAGTTGGCGCCTTTTCCATAGGTTATACCTCCCCCCCCGCTTATTTTTTGTTCGTTTTACGATTTTTTTGTTGGGGCTGGTGTGCTGATATCAAAGCACTATACCATACGATGAACTTTCTTAGTCTCATTTAGGAACAAAATAAGGGCCATCTCTATGGAAAGTAGGGGCAAATGACTAGTATTTCAAAGTTTCAATTATCAAAACTGGATGTACGTGCAAGATAAGCCCTAAATGCAGAATCTGCATTAAAAAATACACTAAAAACTCTATTTACAATTGTGAAATATCTATCATCCAAGATTTAGTACTACCATTCCAGGTTTTTTATTCCTTAAACTTCTCTCTGGGGTCTGTCAAGGACAAAACTTGGATGATAGATATTTCACAATTGTAAATAGAGTTTTTAGTGTATTTTTTAATGCAGATTCTGCATTTAGGGCTTATCTTGCATGTACATCCAGTTTCGATAATTGAAACTTTGAAATACTAGTCATTTGCCCCTACTTTCCATAGAGATGACCCTTATTTTGTTCCTTAATGAGACCAAGAAAGTTCATCGTATGGTATAGTGTTTTGATATCAGCACACCAGTCCCAACAAAAAAATTGTAAAACGAACAAAGAATAAGCGGGGGGGGGGGTATAAGCGCCAAATCCTTTTGCTTGCCTAATTAGTATTTTTCCATTTTAGTATATGAAAAGGAGAAATTCAAGCTAATCGTTGCTTAAATCATAGGATTTCATAACTTTTTATGCTTCTGAGTGTTCATAAGATTATCAATGTTAGCTTTTTATTGTGATGTTCGGAAAAATATTGAGAACCAACAATTAATGTTGACTGAGATGGACTTATTTTATATTCTTTTAAAAATCATTAATATTCGACGACTTTGAGCCATTCTCTGTTTAAGACACTTCTATAGATTTCTTTTTTTTCTGATTTAACTCTTTATGGCATATTTGTTTGTTCAGCAACTACAACTACTTCGTGAATATCTTGTTTGCTAGTCTTGCTGTCATTATCATCTAGAACTATTTTTTTTTCCTGTTCCTTTGTCCTCAGAAATCATATTAATTCTTCCTGTTTCATCGAATGAATAAACAAGCGAATGTATATATTGATGTATATAAATTAAATGAATAATAAAAAATACGATAGAAAACTATAGGTAAGAAATTGATTAAGAATAAAAAATATTCATTATCAGTTGTTTGTGGTCGGTAGAAAATAAAAGTCATTTGTATAAAATGGAAAGAATTAGAATAGAACACAAACATCAGTAGCTTTTGATACGGTTTTTATCTATTTATGGAAATGAAGACCTTCGAGATGAAAAGTGTTGATTAAAATTATAAATTATGCAGTATTAGAAAAAAGCAGAAAAATCTTCAAAAAGCAGAATTTTTCTGCTAAAAGCAGAAGAGGTGGCAACTCTGGTGTGGATGTGGGTGGGTGTCGGTATGTGCGTTTGTGGCTGTCGCACTGACTTTGAGTCTAGGTATCAGTCTTCTTTCAACGCTTACCTACAGCCAGATCGCACACACTCACATCTACACCCACACCCTCAATTCGATGTTTCAATTTTTTTCCAGAAAAATATATTACCGAGGATGGATGTGAATGTGACAATGGAATTCTAGAATTACTTTAATGTCGAAACATGATTAATCGATAACAGAAAACTAATGTGTTCAGATTCAACAATGATTTTGACTTCTAATTCTAGAATAACTCTTTGTTTTTAAAGATTAAATTTGGTTTTCCACATACATGTGATACTTAAAAGTTGAATCTTTTTGTAGCTGTAAAAAAAAAACACATTATTATACGAACCCTACAATTCCAAGAATTATTTTTGCTGCATGGTGTGAATGTGAGTTTGTTGATAGGCGTGCATTCATTTACATGGTTATTATACAGTTCTGCTATTCATATTGATTGGTGAAATGAAAACATGACAGTCTGCTTTCTTTCTTCAAATACAAATAATTGAAGTAGTAGAAAAAGTTCATTTTGAATCAATGAAATTTCACTGTATGCATGATGATTTTTTAGTTTCATCGACAAACATTGACGATTAGTACGAAGAAGAACACAGCAAAGTATCAATCAGAGTTTTCCATCAATCATACTGACAAGCCTCAAAATTACTATCCAAAGATCTGCTGAACAGAAGTAGACTATTTAATTT